CGGAGGAGAGGAGGAGGAGGAGAAGAGGAGACGAGGCGGAGGTGGAAGAGCAGGGGAAGAGGAGGAGGAGGAGGAGGAGGAGGAGGAGGAGGCGGAGGAAGTGGTAGGAGGAGGAGGAGGAGGAGGAGGAACAGGGGAGGAGGAGGGAGGAGGAGGGAGAGAGGAGGAGGAGGGAGGGAGGGAGGAGGGAGGAGAGGGAGGAGGAGGGAGGGAGGGAAGGGGAGGAGGAGGAGGAGGAGGACCCGCGGAGGCCTAGGAGGACGAGGAGGGACGAGGCGGATGAGGGAGAGGAGGAGAGGAGGAGGAGGAGCAGGAGGAGCTAGGAGGCGCAGGAGGAGCAGGAGGAGCAGGAGGAGGAGGAGGAGGCGAGGAGGAGGAGAGGAGGAGGAGGAGGAGGAGGAGGAGAGGAGGAAGGAGGAGAAGACAGGAGGAGGAGGAGGAGAGGAGGAGGAGGAGGAGGCGGAGGGAAGGAGAAGAAGGGGAGCAGGGGGGACGGCTCCCGCCCCCTTCGGGGCGACCGCCGGGCGGGGGCCCGCTTGATTCCCCGTTCCCAAGGGGCAACGCATGGCAGGGCCCAGGCTCCCAATCGCCCACTGATCGCTGATATGTTGGGCCTGTTTGCCGCCGCCACCACCACAAGTAGGTGGGGGAGAGGGTCCTCCTCCCCCGCCTCCTCCTCCTCCTCCTCCCTCTCCCCCTCCTTCCCCCCACTCTCCTCCCATCGCCCCTCCTCCCCTCCTCCTCACTCTAATCATCATCCTTTCTCCCCTCCTCCTCCTCCTCCTCTTCCCCAATCCTCCTCCCTCCTCCCGCACGCCCTCCTCTGACATCTCATCCCGTTCTTCCTCCTCGGATATACGCAAGTCCTCACCTCCTTCCCCCCTCCAACTTCTGGTGGTGGTGGTGGAAGACAAGCCCATCATGACAGGGGCTGCGGGGGCCCACCTCCTTCCCCCCTCCAACTCATGGTGGTGGTGGTGGTGGTGGTGGTGGTGGTGGTGGTGGTGGTGGTGGTGGTGGTGGTGGTGGTGGAGAGCAGGCCCATCATGATAGGGACTGCCGGGGGCGCGGCGGCCGCGGACGGGGCGCGGGCTCGACCGCCAGCGCGCGCCGGCACGCGGCCCCCGCTTGCCGCCGCGGCCACTCGCTGCCGCCACTCGCTGCCGCCGCGTGCGCCGCCGCCGCCGCCGCCTCCTCCTTCCTCCGTCCTCCTCCTCCTCGTCCTCCTCCTCCTCCTCCCCCTCGTTTCTCCTCCTCCTCTTCCTCCTCCTCCTCCCTCCTCCTCCTCCTCCATCCTCCTCCTCCTCCTCCCCCTCCTCCTCCTCCCCCTCCTCCTCCATCGCACGCGCAGAGGGGAGTACGGCAGGTATCGACCGGCGGCGACCCCGCCGCCGGCGTTCAAGGTTGTACGCTGCCGGCGACCCAGAGTCGGTCGATGCTGACCGATCTGACGTTTCGGAAACAGCCGATCGTTGAAGATTGAGCGATCCCCGCGGTGTCAGGAACCGACGCCAGGGCCGACACGACACGAACCCGCGGTAGGGGAAGGGAGGAAGGCTTCTTAGAAGCACTCCTGCATCTTAGAAGGCGCGGGCCTTATCTGTAAATGTGAGGCCAGAGCCTTCTAAGAAGCAGCGTCCTTCTAAGAAGCCTTCCCCCCTTCCCCCTAGCCTCTTGTGCCCGCCGCCAAGTGGGGGGGCTGGCATCGTGAGCCAGCAACTCAGGGGGACAGATAGTGCCACAAACATGAAAGCTCTGAGGTCCGCGCGGGTTTCTAGGATCGGCGCGAACCTCGGAGTTATTTATGTTCATGCCATTGTCTGTCCATTTCGCATCCCTACCTCTGCGACCCCCTTTGTTTCTCGGGTTGGAACTCCGTGCCCCCCTCTGGGTCTGGCACTCACACCTAGATCGCCTTCATCTCCTTGCCCTTCCCCATTCCTCCTCCCGTGCGTGCTGCTTCATAATGGCAGGGAGGGGGGGATGGCGTCCAAGGTGGGGGGGAGGGCGCGGTGGGTGGAGCCCGGAGGTCTGTGCGTGTCGCCAGTCCCAGCCCCTGCGCCCAGGACTGTTTCTGTTTCCGTCTCGTCGGGGATGCGCTTGTTGGGGAGCCCAGCGGAGGGGAGTGCGCGTGGCGGGGAAGAGGGGCGGGGGAGGTAGAGGGGGAGGGGGATGGGAGGAGGAGGAAGAGGAGGAGGAGGAGAAGGAGGAGGAGGAGGAAGAGGAGGAGCAGGAGGAGAGGAGAAGGAGGAGGAGGGGGGGAGGAGGAGGAGGTCACCACCCACCAAACACCCCAACCCAACCCGAAAGGTCTGATTTACCCTCGATTTCCAGCTGGGGGGGGTCGGGGAACCTCGAGAAAAACACATATGGAACCCGTACCCCCCAACCGAAATTCGGGTCTTCGGGTTGGGTTGGGGGGGTGTCTGGGAGGTAGTCAGGAGGAGGAGGAGGAGGGAGGAGGAGGAGGAGGAGGAGGAGGAGGAGGGAGGGAGGAGGAGGAGGAGAGGAGGAGGGGGGGGGGAGGAGCGGGAGGAAGGAGGAGGAGGAGGAGGAGGAGGGGAGGAGGAGGAGGAGGAGGAGGAGAAGGAGGAAGAAGAAGAAGAAGAAGACGAGGAAGAAGAGGAATCTTACTAAGAATAACAATGGTAAAGGCAATAACCATACTAATAGTACAACTAGTCATAATCAACATAATAATATTACGAATAATGATGCTAAGCATCACAATTAATACTACTAGTACTGATACGTATTCATAATAATACGATTTCTAATTCGAGTAACAAAAATAAGAATGATAAGAGTACCGATAATCATAAGATTACGATGATGATGATGATGATGATGATGATGATGATGATGATGATGATGATGATGATGATGATGATGATGATGATGGTGATGGTGATGGTGATG